GGAGTGAACCAGTGGATGGAAGACCTCTCTCTCTGACTCTCTCTCTCTCTCTGTGTCTGTAACTCTGCCTCTCAGATAAATAAATAAAACTCTAAAGAAACTGGGACCCCTTAGAACACACGGCATAGATGAGAGCTGATTTCACGACTCAGGGGAAGCAAAGAATCAAGACGGGACTTGAACACTCTGTCGTATCCCTCCAAGGTGCTCAAGGAGGAGCGCAGGAAGGGCCCGGGCGCTGGCCTCAGGAGCGCTTGTTGCTCAAGTGGAGACAGCTGAGCACAGGAAGAAGGCCAATGAGGGCGAGGACTGATGATTATGGTTAATTGCAGTCAATTAAGGCTGTGGAAGGCCATGCGATGATTGACACTCAAAGGATAAAAGTTTTTTTTTTATCTTTTATTTAATGAATATAAATTTCCAAAGTACGACTCATGGGTTACAATGGCTTCCCCCCCCATACCGTCCCTCCCACCCACAACCCTCCCCTTTCCCACTCTCAAAGGATAAAAGTTAACATATGAGATGTAACTATTATAAATTATTGCTGGGAATTTGAATGTCTGTAACTTAGAAAAATGATAAATAAAAAGAACATTCAAAAAAAAAAAAGTTAACATAAAGGGTACAGAAGACGGCTGTAATAGGAGTGAATGGAGGGGCCGGGGCTGTGGTGTAGCGGGTAAAGCTGCCACCTGCAGTGCCGGCATCCCATATGGGTGCTGGTTTGAGTCCCGGCTGCTCCACTTCCGATCCAGCTCTCTGCTATGGCCTGGGAAAGCAGAAGATGGTCCAGGTCCTTGAGCTCCTGCACCCGCATGGGAGACCTGGAAGAAACTCTTGCCTTTGGATCGGTGCAGCTCCAGCCATTGCGGCCATCTGGGGAGCGAGCCAGCAGATGGAAGACCTCTCTCTGCCTCTGCCTTTCAAATAAAATAACTAAATTAAAAAAAAAAAAGAAGTGAATGGAGTCTTTAAAATTGACTTTAATAAGGAAAAAAAGGAGCCATTCATTTGGTTCCTTCTGTTAATTATGTGTCTGCTTACAGAGCAGAGGTGAGTGCGTCCCTTCCCGGATACAAGCAGAGAGGAAGGCCACAGGGAGTGGTGAAAAAGCTGAGCAGCCCGGTGTTAGTGGGGACTTTAGCGGGAAGAGATTGGCAAGCGGTGGTGTCAGAGGCAATAATGAAAGAGAAGGCAGCTTCAACCGCAGTTACCAAGATGACAAATTAGCAAAAAGGAAATTGCTAAAAAAGGAAAGCTAACCAGGTCGACCCAATTATTTATCTCCTGCAAGCTTAAGTGTCTAGATTGGCCTGCTAATTATAATAAAATGCTTACAAGGAATGCATAATGATAATATTTAATAATGTTAATAGATCAAGTCAGCACACCATAATGAGAGAAGAACGGATTCTGTAATACTGGTCAAGGGGGATTTGTAAAGTGTGTTACATTAGCAGGAGAAAATAAGTCATTAAAAATCCTAAAATGTATGTGAAAGATGCATTCCTAAAAAGTTTTATTCTCCGGTGAGATATGATTTCACACCTCTAGTCTGGCCATCACAGAGAATAACAAGTGTTGGCAAGGACGTGGGACAATCAGAACCCACAGACGCGGCTGGTGGGAATGTGAAACGGGGCAGCCACTTTGGCAAACAGTCTGGCAGCTCCTCAGACGGCGGACGTGGAGCCGTCAGATGACCCTGGATGACAATGGAAGAAAAGGGAACTGGACAGTGATAAGGAGTCAGGCACCACCATGGGAACGTTGTGCCAGGCACAGAAGACCACACGCTGGATGAGTCCGTGTGTTCACGCAGGAATTGTCCAGAGCAGAGAATACTTAGTGGCTGTCTCGGGGTGGGGTCGGGGGGGAGAGCGGGCAGTGACTGCCAATGGATGTGGGATTTCTCTTGCGGTTGATGATAACGTGCTAAAATCGCTTATGGTGATGGCTGCACAGCACCATGGGTACACTAACCCCGCCCCAATAGGCAGGCACTTGACGCACTGCTTGGGGTGCTGTCTTACCATGTTGGAATGCTGGAGTAGAGTTCCAACTCTGCTTCAAATTCGAATTTTTGCTTACATGGACCCTGGGAAACAGCAGGTGATGGCTCAGGTACTTGGGTCCCTGCCACCCACATGGGAGACTTGGATTGAGTTCCAGGCTCCTGGCTTCAACATGGCCCAGCCCTGGCTGTTGTGGGCTTTTGGGGAATGAACCAGTGAATGGAAGATACCTCTCTCTCTCTCTCTCTCTCTCTCTCTCTCTCTCTCTCTCTGAAGTGCCATGGAAATCCACGGTGCCAGTCAGTTTGTAACCATTATAATAATTTTTGCATCCATTTGTTTCTTAGAAGGCTTAAGGCATTTAAGAGGAGCCTATATATTAGATATGACATTTTAATCAAATGCTTAATTGAGTTTAAGTCTGAACTCAACATTTCATGTTGGAATAAGTTTGGTTTATCAAGCCGGTGAGTGTGCGTGCGTTGGTTGTAAGCAGTGTGGGGTTAGAGGCATATTGTTGAATGCTTAGATGTGAATTGCCTAGCAAGCTCTTGAGAGTAACCCTCTTTAAACAGAAGCACCTCAGTGTCCTCTAGAGGCCGACAGGGTGCCCCGGGAGGAGAGAGGAGGGCCTGGGTTTGCAGGCTGGGGACAGAGGCTGACCGGGCACTAACGTGGTCAATTGGCTTTGTCTTCCCAGACCCTTGTCTTCGTCCCTGTTACTAACAGAGCTGCTGCTTCCGAATTCCTCCCCGCGCCTGTCACAGAGACTCGCGGCACTGGGATTCAGGAGCGGTGGGCTTCCGTTGGGCGAGGCGAGGGGCATTAGTAGCAGGGGGTCCTGGGTAACAGGTGCCGGGGGAGGGGGAGCAGAGGGGCGGGGCAGGAGGTGCTGCAGAAGCAGCTCTGCACCCTGTCACGGCCACCGGCCTGAGGCCAAGGAGGACTGAACTCCTGCAAATCCGGAATTCAGGTGTGCACTTCACCTGGCAGTTACCGTCTGTCGGTGTGCCTGGGTCTGCGTCCCGGCTCTGCTTCCAGGTCCAGCCTCCTGCTGCTGTGACCCTAAGCAGCGGTGATGGCTCAAGGGATCGGGTCCCTGCCGCCCACATGTAAAACCTGGAAGGAGTTCCCAGCCACCAGCTAGTGAGCAAACCATCAGATAGGAGCTTTCGCTTTCTCTCTTTCTCTCTCTCTAACTCTGACTTTCAAATAAATAAATAAATATTTAAAAAAATAAAATAAAGTGGAAATAATCCCAATCATAGAAATAACACATCCGCATGGTTCCATGTGGTTTGTCTCCCAAGGGTTCACGTGCTGGAAGCTTGGTCCCCAGTGTGGGGATGTGAAGAGATAGAGGCGCTGTTAAGAGCTGCGGCCAGGACAGCATTTTGGCGTAGCAGGTAAAGACGCCACCTGTGCCGCCAGCATCCCGTATGGGCACTAGTTCGGGACCCGGCTGCTCCCCTTCCAGTCCAGCTCCCAGCAAACGTGCCTAGGAAAGCAGCAAAGATGACCCAGGAGTTGGGGCCCCTGGCTCCTGGCTTCAGCCTGGCCCAGCCCTGGCCGTTGCAGCCACCCAGGGAGTGAACCAGCGGATGGAAAATTCTCTCTTTCTCTGTAACTGCCTTTCAAGTGAATAAATAAATCTTTAGCAAAGAAAAGAAATGAGGAAACACAGAGAGCATTTCACTAGCCGAGAAGGGCTTCCGGGGGTCATAAAGAGGCGTCTGTGCAGCTGTGCGGCTGGGGAATGGAGCGGAGGCAGAGAGGAATCCGGGGAGGCACAGAGTGAGGGCGCACCAGGGACGGAGAGGGGCCACCCCTGCATCCAGCGTTCAGTGGTGCACACTCTGCCTGGGCGCGCAGGGTGCCGCGGTGGACGGATCCGAGTCCCTGACCTCATGGCGCCCACACTCTGGCAGGGCTCGTTGACTCAGAGCTGAACAGTGCACACAGGAGTGAGCGCACCCAGGGAGCCAACCAGAAAGGCGGACAGAACGAAACCTCAGCTCTGCCCTCTCTGGTGGAGGTAGGAAGTGGGTGTGGAGGTTGAGGGGACAGCTGGGGAGTGTGGCTGGGGCTGGGAAAGGCGGGCTGGGGGCACGGGGTCCCAAGAAGGAACCCTGGGCGCAGGCTGCAGCAGACCCTGAGGCAGGAGGGTCTGCTCTGGGAACACCCACCTCCCACCCAGGCAGGGGCTCCCCAACTTCTGGTTCTGTGGTGTCTCCTGCTGCTGCCCCCGCTCCCACAGGCCCCAGTGTGGTGGGGGACGCCAGGCTGTGCCACAGGTACACACACCTGAACCACACAGGGAAAGAGAACTCAGAAACCGAATCACGCGCAGCTCACACCTGCCAAATGCTGCCTGCACCTCTGTAAGCTGAGCCCCACAGGAGAAGCCCCAGCCCCCTGGGGGGCCACGAGGAGGCAGGAGGGACAATGCACATGCCACTGCAGGTGGGGCGCTTCCCTGCCCTCCCTGCCCCTTTGCTTTATCAAGGCTGCTGTTTATCCAACAAGCGCTCTCTGAGCCACAAGGAGCTAAGTGTTGCGTGAAGGGAGGACACCCACGCCTCCCCACTTCCCAGGGGCTTCACTCTCGGGGAAGAGAAGCAGACAATGGGGTGGAAGGCGTCTGTACTGGGCCTCAGCCTTCCCTCCCGCCCCAGGTGCCCCCTGAAGTCCTCTTGCTGCCCCCCCCAACCCCGTCCCGTTCTCAGTTTCCAGGGCTGTCCTGGAGCTGGCTACCTGTTCCACCTGGCCAGGGCGAGACCGTGGGACTCCACCATCAAACATCTGGGCTTTTTCTCTTTTGCAAAGAGTGGAGACAGCAAGACAGCATCTGCAGGGGACCCTGGAGGGACCCCGGTGTGTGTGGGGGGGCAGTGACTGGAGAACAGGGACACGCGAAACGCACCTCAGCTTGTGCACGGGGAACAAAGACACGGAGAAGAAGCAGCGTGGAGAACTGCATGCTTTATTGGAGGTCAGCGAGGGAGGCGGGGTAAGGGGCAGTGGTGAGGCTGGAAGCCACATGAGCTGAACCCGCTTGGCTCACCCCACCAGGGGAAGGGTGTAACTCCCTGCTCTGCCTTCCAGCTCAGGCTTTCCCCGCTGGTGTGTGTTAACCCCACTGCAACCTGGGGTTTGGAGGACCAGGGAAGCCAGCTGGGCTGGCCTAAGAAGAGCTTGGAGGGTGGACACCTCCAGGATGCAGGTAATTATAATTCCCCCCACTGCCTCCTGGGTACCGACTATTGTTCCCCCAGCTGCTACCTGGGTACCGACTATTGTTCCCCCAGATGGTACCTGGGTACCGATTAGTATTCCCCCAGCTGCCTCCTGGGTACCGATTCACACTCCCCCAGCTGCTGGCTGGGTATTGATAAATATTGCCCCAGCTGGTGCCCGGGAATTGATTGTTGAGACCCCAGATTCCTGCAGGGTGAGACATGGGCCTCGTTCCCCACCCGGTCCCGGAGCCTCCACCTCCCCAGGACACAGCAGGACTCAGGGCGCCCCAGGGGGTGCCTGCCAGAAGCCTGTGTAGAAGAGACCAGAACGGGCGTTGGGCAAGGGCTTCTCTCTGGGCTCCCAGCCACTTCAAGAGGGGCAGCTGCCCGGCAGGCTCCAAGTCCTGGTGCAGGAGGAAGGAGTCAGCAGCGGGGAGCAGGGAGTGTGCAGAGGACTGGGCGGGCCAGGACCCACGGCCCAGCGGGAGGGCCCCAGCGCTGGAAAGGTAGGACGGTCCCTGGGGCAGCACCTGCCCCGCCTGGCCCTCAGCCGCAGCACCCATCATCATCTGCCAGGGCTCCTCCGAGGACCAGGACTGCAGCCCCCAGGATGGCGGCCACTTCTGCACCGCGGAGCCGCCTGCCAGCAGGAAGTCGTCCGACAGCGGAGGAAGCCGCAAGGGATCTGCTCCAGTGAACTGAGGGTGTCCGGAGTTGGAGGGGCCGGTGAGGGGCGGCTGTCCCAGCAGAGGCAAGTTGGTCAGCAAGCTGTGAGAGAGTTTCTCCTCCACTGGGCTGATGCTCCGGCCAAGGAGTGCTGGGAAGAGAAGGCAGGGCAGCCGTGTCGCCGGGGCTCGCTCCGCTCGGCGCCAGCTCGCTCCCTGCCTGGATCCCACTCCCTTCAACCCCCTTCACAATGGCCACACCCAAGTGGGGACCCCCTGTCTTTCCCTCCGTTCCAGCGCCCTGGGGGACCCCAGTGCCCTCCTGCCCCGGGGTCCGGCGCAGCCTCCATACCTGGGACATGAAGGCAGACCAGCAGCAGGCCCAGAGGAGCTCGGTTCCCTGCCACGCGGCCCCACATCCTGCCCAGCGCCAGTGGCTCCGCAGGGCCCCAGACGGCCCCTTTATGCTGGTGGTGGGGCGGGGGACAGCAGAAACGGGCTGGGCCCGTGGCTGTGGGGACAATGCGTCTCCTCCTTCCACCCTCATTCCTGATTCGGTCCGTGCCAACAGGTGCCACTTGAATGTCCCGGAGGAAGCTGGGTGTTCCCCCACCTGGCTCCTTTCCTTGAGCTCCTGGCCTCTTCTTGACACAGGTGTCCTGGCTCAGAGCTCACACCTGGCTGCCAGCCCTGCCCCTTGCCGGTTCCCAGTGCCAGGCCCATGAGGACCTCCACCCCTGGGGTCTCCGTTGCCTCGCTGCCTCTCTCGGCAACACACTGGGTCCTCTTCTTCTCTGAGGACCCCAACGCCCCTGCCCCATGCAACCTGATGTCTCCCTCACCTGACCCCACCTGCAGGAGGCTCTCCACCTGGGAGATGGCGCTGTCGGTGTCTTGTGGCTGCTTCAGGGTGGACAACCATACACATTTATTTATTTGTTTATTTTTTAAAAGAGAGAGAAGGAGAGGCAGAGAGAGAAAAAGAGGTCTTCCATCTGCTGGTTCACTCCCCAGTTGGCCGATCCAAAGCCAGGAGCCAGGAGTTCCCTCCAGGTCTCCCACGTGGGTACAGGGACCCAAGGACTTGGGCCATCTTCCACTGCTTTCCCAGGCCATTGCAGGGAGCTGGATCAGAAGTGGAGTAGCCAGGACTCGAACTGCTGCCCATATGGGATGCCTGCAATGCAAATGGCGGCTTTACCCGCTACGCCACGGTGCTGGCCTCATACATACATTTATTACGCTGCAGTTCTGTGACTGAAAGTCCAAAATGAGTGTCTGAGGGTTAGCATCCAGGAGTCAGCAGGGCCGACTTCCCTTCTGGAAGCTCAGGGCAGAACCCACTCCCCTTTCCCAGCTTCCACAGGCACCTGCGTTCTGCCACTCAAGGTTGCCTTACTCCATCTTCAAAGCCCAAAGCTCCAGGTTCTCCTCCCCTGGTGTCACTCTGGCATCTCCCCTGCCTCCCACGTCTACTTTCAAAGTCCTGTGATGATGTGGGGCCCACCCGGATAATCCAGGATAATCTTGTTAAGTTGAGGTCCACTGACTTACACCCTAATTCCACCTGCAACCCAACACCCTTTGCCAAGTAATCTGGTGTACTCACAAATCCCAGGGATTAGGATGCAGGCAGCGCAGGTGGCCGGATGTGTCCCTGAAATCTAGGAGACACCAAGAACTGCTGCCCAGTCGCAGCACAGGGGAGCGTGTGAAGGTCATGGGGACACAGCCACGGCTGGATCGCAGGTGAAGCTGGGTGAGGGGGAATGAAGATTCAAGATTTATATATTTAGAGCTGGCGCCGCGGCTCACTAGGCTAATCCTCCACCTTGCGGCGCCGGCACACCAGGTTCTAGTCCCAGTCGGGGCACCGGATTCATCCCGGTTGCCCCTCTTCCAGGCCAGCTCTCTGCTGTGGCTAGGGAGTACAGTGGAGGATGGCCCAAGTCCTTGGGCCCTGCACCCCATGGGAGACCAGGAGAAGCACCTGGCTCCTGCCATCGGATCAGCGCAGTGCGCCGGCCATTGGAGGGTGAACCAACGGCAAAGGAAGACCTTTCTCTCTGTCTCTCTCTCTCACTGTCCACTCTGCCTGTCAAAAAAAAAAAAAAAAAGATTTATATATTTATATGAAAGGCAGAGGAAGGGGGGGGCATCCATTAGTTCATTCCCCAGATGGCCACAATAGTCAGAACTATGCTGATCCGAAGCCAGGAGCCTCTTCCTGGTCTCCCATGCAGGTGTAGGGACCCAAGGACTTGGGCCATCTTCTACTACTTTCCCAGGCCATAGCAGAGAGCTGAATAGGAAGTGGAGCAGCCGGGACTCGAACTAGTGCCCATATGGGACACCGGCACTGCAGGCAGCGGCTTTACCCGCTACACCACAGCCCCGGCCCTCTGTCAACTTTTAAATATGACTCTGATTTGTAGGTGATCTGAGTGTGTCCCCCAAGGGGTCACGAGCTGAGTCTTGTTCCCCAGTGTGGCCATGCTGAGAAGTGGCAGAACCCTTGAGAGGTGGGACCCAGTGGGAGTGACTGATGCTGGTCTTTTGGAGTGGATCAATTTTTACCAGAGAGAGTTGCTATGAAGAAGCAAGCCTGGCTCTCCAGGCCTCTGGCCTCCTGGCTCACCGTGCTATGTCTCCCTCTCTGTGATGTCATCACAAGGTGGTGATGCCGCCCAGGGATCCTCACCAGAGCCGAGCAGAGGTCAGCCCTTGAACCTCCAGAACGCTGAGCTAAATAAGGATCTCTGATATATTACCCAACCACAGGTATTGTTGCAACAACAGAAAATGGGCAATTACAAACCTGTTTGAAATTAACATAGTAAAAAGGGTATTTAGGGGCAGGTGTTTGGCCTACCTGTTAAGATGCTGGTTAGGATACACATGTCGAGATTGGAGCGCCTGGGTTCAATACGTGGCTCTGGCTCCTGACTCCAGCTTCCCGCTGGATTCTGTCAGGTGGTGGTGATGGCTCAAGTAGTTGGGTTCCTATCACTCACATAAGAGGCCTGATGGACTCCCTGGCTTGGGCTGGCTCAACACTGGCCATTTGGGGCATTTGAAGAATGAGTCAGCCAATGGAAGCACTCTCTCTCTCTCTGTGTGTGTGTGTGTGTGTGTGTGTCTTTCTCTGAAATAGAGAAATATTTTTAAAGTGCTTTAATGGGTGCCAGCGTCGTGGCACAGTGGGTTTAGCCACCATTTGCAATGCCAGCATCCCATATCAGAATGCCTGTTTGAGTCCTATCTATTCCACTTCCAATCCAGCTCCCTGCTAGTGCACCTGGAGCAGCAGCGAATGATGGCCCAAATACTTGGGTCCCTGCCACCCCGTGGGAGACCCAGATGGAGTTCCAGGCTCCTGGCTTCAGCCTGGCCCAGTCCCAGCCATGTGTCCATTTGGGGAATTAACCAATAAATGAAAGATCTATCTCCTTCTCTTTCTGCCTCCTTCTCCTCCCTCTCTCTGTCACTCTGCCTTTCAAATAAATAATTTTCTTTTTTAAAGGTGTTATAATAAATAGCCCACTGCTGCTGGAGCCCCCTAGTGGCTGCCTTGGCTGTTCACAGACTCATCCTCCATCCTCATCCGCCAGCCCTTGCTGGCCGCTCCTCTCCAGAACTGGCCAATCGGTGCAGGGCAGTGACATCCACTCGTTTTGCAAAAGCTTTTAACCCGGCTCACCCCAGAGACTAGAGGAGCCCCCTCGCCTCAGAGAGCACCCCCTCCGAGCCCCTCCTGCCCCGAGGGCCTCAGCTCCTGCTCTTGGCTGTAGGGCAGGGAGCAGGCAGGGAACAGTGAGGACTGAAGCAGGACTGACACATTGGCTGCAGCGCCCCCTTCAGGTGGACTCAGCCATCCAGATCCTCTCTGGACACTGACGCGCTGCTGCTGGCTCTGCACTGGGACTCTCTCGGAGCTGTGAATTTGGAGCCAGCAATGCTGTCCACATAGGAGGGCATGGGGTGGATCCTGAGGCAGAGGTGCGGAGAGGTGGCCTGAGCTTGGGCAAAGGCGCTCCCTACAGAGACAGGCACATCCCCATCGGCCCCCTGGGGATAGGAGTGTGTCCTTGGTCTCCAGGGCATCAGTAGGGGGGCCCTCACCTCACTCTGCACCTGTTCTCTCCTCCTTGGAGGCCACTGCCCCTCCTCCCCTGGGAAGTGCCACCCTCTCACCTCTCACCCGAGAGCCACGGTTCTCACCCCGAAACCCAGCTGTGACAGCCAAGCATGGAGGTGGAGAGGACACTGTTAAGCCAACAGTGCTGCTATGGGCTGGGACCTTGTTCTAAGGCCGGTGAATCACCGGGCTTCACTGAGCTCCCTGCCCGCTCCTGTCCTCTTTCACTCTCTCCGCCCCCAGCTCCCAGCACAACGCCCACCGGGGCGCCTGCTCAGGCACCAGGAATCCTGTCTGGGCTGTTGTGGCCCGGCCTTCCCAGGCTTCCAGATGTTCCCAAAACCCAGAAAACTGGCAGAGAGGATGGCGGTCTGGCAGGTGAGGGATGGGGATGGTCAAGGGCAAGGTGCCTGTGGTGATGGTGGGGGAATGGGGAGGGTGTGATGAGGCTTCATGCAAGGGGAAGGGAGACCCCTGGTGAGTGAGGCAGAGGAGAGAGAATGGACTTCCTGGAGCAGTGAGAGAAGGGGGAGGAAGGGCGTGGGAGACCAGGCCACCTCTGCTTTCATTTCAACAAGTATTTATTCTTTTCCTCCGTCGTGGGAGGAGCTACAGGCAGAAGAACAATACTGAGCCAACTGACAAACGAAAATAGGGGGCCCTGGCACCTCTAGAAGCATAGGAGCACTACCCAGATCCCCAGGGTTAACCCAGGGCCCCAAGAAGGCAAAAAAAAAGCCTTCATTGAGTTCACACGGTTTATTGAGCCACCCGTCTGGGATCCAGAGCTAGGGAACCTGTCCAACCTCTGCGGATGCTCTGGGGCCTCTGCCCACAGGGAAGCATCGAGAAAACTGTCAGCCAGGGAGGGAGGGGGCTGAGATGAAGACCGAGCTTGGGAAGGGAGGGGTGTGTTGGAAACAGTGACCTCAGAGGGCATGGCGAGCGTCACCATGGAGGATGGCCGTGGACTTGGAGCAAGAATCCAGTGTCCTCCCGGTAGGTTGGTTGACCAGATGGCCAAGAGAAGTCAGTGAAAAGTAGTCATTGTCTTCAGATGATGGCTTGGGGTTGGTTTTATTTGGCAAAGGAGGAGGGGAAGGGATGACTTGTCCAGGCAGCAGAGGTACCCTGGGAGTTTCAGGGGTTTCCCCACGAGGACCTGAATGGGGGGGTTAGCCCATGGGCTTCTCAGAGAAAAGGGCAGAGGGGATGCTAGTGTGGACTGACACAGAGAGGACGCTGCAGTGGGGTGGGGATCGCGCCGTGGGAGAGAATGAGGAAAGGACTTTGGGGTTTCCCATCCCGAGAAGACGAAGAAAGAAGGGATAAGGGAGAGTCTGCCACAATGGGGGAACAGAGAGAGTGAGGCCGTGCTCGGGAGGGAGGTCGGAAACTGAGCTAACCTTGTGCCGGGCCCCAGACGTCTCCCAAGTGGGAGAAGCTCTGTGTGTGT